AAAAAAGTTATTTTGAATTATTTATTGGACAAATCACATATCTCTGTACCTTTGGGCTCAGTTACTAGAGGATTACTGTGATCATTTGATCAAGTCATGTTTCCTTGACTCTTTGCATATCTTGAAATTGTACATTGCTGCTTTGGCACTTGAAGGAGCTGACATCTCCACATTGCTTACTAACTGTCTTCAGGTGGAAGATACATTTGTTGGTCCTACTTATACATAGGACTTGCCTGACCTTGCATGGGAACATCTGCTCCATGCTCCCTCATGTAGCAAAATTCTTCTTTTAACAGCTTTGTTGAGATATAATTCATGTACCATAAAGGTCAATCATTTAAAGAGTACAATCCAATGGCTTTTAGTATGTTCACATAGTTATACACCCATCACTACAATCAGTTTTAGAACATTTTATTAGCCTGAGAAATTAATCCACATCTTTAGCCTACATGCCCCCATCTTCCCACCCAACTCTCTTCCCTAGGCAGTTACTAACCTATTTTCTGTTTATAAATTTGCCTATTATGGACATGTCATATTAATGGAATCACATATGATGTGGTCCTACATGACTGGCTTTTTTCACTTAGCGTGTTTTCAAGGTTCATCCAATATTGTAGTTTGTATCATCCATTGTGTTGTATGTAGCAGAATTCTTAATTTTGCATCTTCTCTTGATCTTTTAGCACATCTGATCAGATATTGGAAATCTCTTTCATTTTCCTGAAGGTGGTGCTATAGCCCAACTTCGTGCTTTCTCCCTTGCCCATAGACTGTTTTCTGCTTGCCTTCTCTGTCTGCGAGGGCTCACTCTCACAGCCATTTCAGGATCATTCAAAAGGAGCTGGCTGAAAAGTCAGGGGAGATTTGGGCTTGGTACTTGGGTATTTGGGGTACCCATGGGTCAGTTAGTGGAGATCTTCAAGTGAGGTTTTCAAAAGCTTGTATGTGGACTTGCTGCTAGAGTCTTGAATACAGTCAACAGAAACCAGATCCCTTAAATGCTGTCTCATATTTGTATCTGCCTTTCCTGATCCCCTCTCCCCATCTAGTCATGAAAGTCTTTCCTGTACCCTGGGTGCTCTAGGAGAGAAAAACTTTCCTCCAGCAGCATCCTACACAGCTGGGGAACCTGGACACTCAGTCATTTCACTCCCATTTTCCTCAGGAGAGTTGTTGCCAGCTAGTTTAGTTCCAAGCTGTGCCGCCTAGAGGAGGGGTGGCACTGAAAAAGGTCTACTTACATATTCAGCGCAACTATTTTGTAGGTTTTTGTTTTGTTTTGCTTTGCTTTTTTGCTTCAACAGAGTGCTAGCATCTTTCCTCTGTAAACCAGGACCTCTACAAAGGCTCTTTTATCCTCAGCTATATGCCCAAGTCAGGGCTTTGCAGGTGCTCCCCAGCTGCAACAAAGAGGGGCCAAAACCAATCCACAGACACCTGTGAGTTCCACAACCCATAATAAGGTTTATCTGCCTGTTATCCAGTGCACAGGCGGGAAAAACTCTCCCTGGATCCTTTGGTGTGGATCCCCCAACTCCCTGAGAGATACTTTTGCTCACGGATGTATACTGAATATTAGCTGATGAAAAGTGACAAAAAAGAGGGACAATTTATGCAGTCATAATGTTCTTCTTCACTTCTTTCATGTATTTGCTTGAATGGCCCCTTCTTAATGAAATCTTGTACACCCTGTTAAAATCATCGTCACCAACACCTCTGCTCCCTTGCCTTCCTTTTCCCCCATGTAATACATGATCTTCTAACATATAATTTACTAATATATCCTGTTTATTGTTTATGTTTCATTTCCCTGTAATAGAATATAAAAGCCATGAAGGCAAGATTCTTTATTTTTGCTTGCTAATGTATCCTGTAACTAAAATGGTGTCTAACACTTAGTAAGTATTCAGGACATATTAAATTATTTTACTGAAAATGAATAGTTTTGGAATTATAGAAAGAAAAAGATATCTCCTTATAGGCAAACAAATGTATACATGCTTGAAAGTCAAGCATATTTTTTTGTTTTGCTATTTTATTTTTAATTGATTTGTATTGGAGTACATAGTTTACTCACAATGCTGTATTACATATATATACTTATATACACTATTTTTGCAGTCAAATTTAATAGAGATCTATTAATTTCATTTGTTTAGCATCCCACTTTTAGGGAATTTTGTTTGACTCTATGTAAACCAATCAGAGAAAGGAATTACAGAAAGTTATCATTTTGACCACAAGTTTGGACTTGTTACCTCACTCAGGCAAACCATTTTCTTTAACCTAGGACTAAAAACATGAGTAAAAAGAGAGGGCAGAAAATCATTGAATGACTTCCCTAAAGAGGTGATTTATAAGATCCTATGAATAAAAGTTTTGCAGTTGTTCTAGTTCCTTCAAAAACTCTGATCATCAAATCTTTCTTCATATACATGAGCAGTCCACAAACCTTCCAAATACTATCATTTTGTTTACTTAAGTTCATTATATGTGGTGTGAAGAACTGTAAAAATATGAGATTTTGCACTCATTGCAAGCTAAGAAGATAGTGTTCTACAACTCCATAGGTGATGAGGACTCTAGGTCAAAGACAAGGGATAGTTAATTTCTGGCAATAGACAGAGTATCAAAATTTCTGTTGACCCTCTGTCCCCACAGGGAAATGTACATAGAGCAGCATGTGTTACAAGAGAAGGACCCAAAGCATAGGTGACCAGGACAGGCCTAACTTTGCCTTCAACTTTATTCAACTTCGGGGAGGCTTCTTCCTGACTCTAGACCCTTGATCTCCCTTTTCTTAGAGCATATGCTTTAGAAAACATGCAGTTGTAAGTTACTTTTCTTTTTTTATTTATTTATTTATTTATTTATTTATTTTTTATCACAACCATAGTGTATCTTTTTTTTTTTTCTTTTTTTTTTTTTACATGTATTCCCCATCCCGGTCCCCCCTCCCACCTCCCTCTCCACCCAATCCCTCTGGGTCTTCCCAGTGCACCAGGCCCGAGCACTTGTCTCATGCACCCAACCTGGGCTGGTGAACTGTTTCACCCTAGATAATATACGTGTTTCAATGCTGTTCTCTTGAAACATCCCACCCTCGCCTTCTCCCAGAGTCCACAAGTCTGTTCTATACATAGGAGTCTCTTTTTCTGTTTTGCACATAGGGTTATCGTTACCATCTTTCTAAATTCCATATATATGTGTTAGTATACTGTAATGGTCTTTATCTTTCTGGCTTACTTCGCTCTGTATAATGGGCTCCAGTTTCATCCATCTCATTAGAACTGATTCAAATGAATTCTTTTTAATGGCTGTTACTTTTCTGTTCTTCTGATATATACACATTTAAAAATTCTCTAGTTTGTTTAACAACCCAGAAATGTCTTTCTCAAGGACCTGGAAGCATCCATTTGAAACATGATCATTAAGGAAGACATTGTTCTTAATATCCCATTTTGCATGGGATGAAAGGAATCCAACATTGGTGAATACCTGCTACAAGCACAAAATTGCATCCTGTAATAAAGCTATGAGATGTTTAGTTTTCCTTTTGATAAAATCAGGTAGTAAACACAGATGGTGTAAGGTGTTCCAGTACTTTTCCATTACCTCGTCTCAGCCACTGAAAACCTTATCCCTGTTGGTTGTGACAGAGTTGCCAAATTCAGACTTAAAGTATTTTCTCCATTACCAAAATAATCTTGAATAAAATCTTCCTTGTCTGTTTAACACAATTTTTTACTTGACAAAAAGAATAAGCAAACAGCACACTTGTCTCCAGGGCTTCTCTGGTGACTCAATGGTAAAGAATCTGCCCGCAGGGCAGCAGCTGCAAGACCAGACATGGGTTCAATCCTTGGATTGGGAAGATCCCCTGGAGGAGGGCATGGCAACCTCTTCCAGAATTCTTGCCTAGAGAATCCCATGGACAGAGGAGCATGGAGGGCTACAGTCCACAGGGTTGCAGAGTCAGACAGGACTGAAGCAACTTAGCAAGGCACACTTGACTGCAAAGAAAAACAATTTCTCTCTCTTCTAGAAACACTAAGAAAAAGATGAGTTAAATTTAAAAGTCATTCAGGAGGTCCCCACATGAAGAGGATAACAGAAAATTAAACCCATAAAGCAGGATAGATAAAAACTTGAAAAAATCACTTTAGTGTCCGACTACTGTACACAAAACTCACCCACATTTTATGAAAGTTGATCAAGGCATTAAGTGTAAAGTCTACTTCTGGAGTTTTCTATTTAATTGCTGCAATTTCTGGACTTATAGAATTTTATTTCCTAATGTCTACATATTCTGTAGTAGATGAGTATATCTATGAGTAGATGCAAGAATGCCAATTAATCTATCCTGTCATTATTTTCAAATTACAAAACATAAAATATGTGCCAGAAGGATTTAAATAACTTCTATAACAGGTAAAAAGGAACATTGTAATGTTCAAATGTATAATGTATAAAGATTAAATGGTAATATAGAGTGAAATGATTTAGATAAGGTTGGCCGTGAGCAAAGACTCTCAACGAATTGGGTCTGTGAATGGATTTAGATATGCTGCTAACTCCTTAAATTGCAAATAAGTCTTCCCCCACTCATATTCATGAAGCTAATTTCATGTTTGGATATTGCTTTAAAAAATACTGTCTGTTGCAATGTGTGGGCTAGAATGATTAATTTATTCACTATGGTCATAACACTGATCAGGTCAAATATATGATTATTTTTACAGTCAGTAACATTCTAAACTCAATAAACCTAAAAGTAACATCTTATTCTAAAAGAAAAATATCCATTAGCATCACATAATTAACTCTATCTGAACTTTACAATGGCAATATTGCAATTGAGTTACAAAAGCTGAGAGAAGAAAATGTGCCAACTTTTCTCAAAAAACAGAAATGCTCAGTCAAAAAGATATGGAAATACATTCTTTGTCAGAGAGATACATTTATTACAGAATCTGAAATATAATAATATATCAATCAAACAATTTTAGGGATCCTTTCTTCCCCAACACTTTTCTAATAGCAACTTGAACGTCCTTGTTTCTTAGACTGTATACCATGGGGTTTAATAATGGAGTGACAATAGTGTATGTCACTGTTACCAACCTGTCCTTGTTGGACACATAGTTTGCTGTTGGTCTCAAGTAGATATAGGAAGCGCAGCCATAGTGAATAATGACAACAGTGAGATGAGATGCACAGGTGGAAAAGGCTTTCCGTCTGCCTTCAGCAGAGGGAATCTTCAAGATAGTCCTCAGAATGCAGATATAAGAAACACAAATGAATAAAAATGGGACCACGAGTACAAGAACACCACAGATGAATATGACAAATTCGTGAGCATCTGTATTTGTGCAAGCCAGACGAATAACTGGTGAGATGTCACAGAAGTAATGGTTGACTTTGTTGGCACTACAGAAAGGGAGGCTGAAAACTAAATATACTACTGTTAGTGAGGCCAAGAACCCACCAATCCCACAGAGGGCTCCCAATTTTCCACACACCGGCCAACTCATAAGGATAGGGTAATGTAGAGGGTGACAGATGGCGGCATAACGATCATAACCCATAACTCCCAATAACAAGCAATTGGTAATAGCAAAACCAAGGAAGAAGAACATTTGGATGGCGCAACAGTTGAAGGAGATTGTCCTGGCCACAGAAAAAAGATTGATGAGCATCTTGGGTAGGATGACGAAGGTATAGCAGGTCTCTGATGTTGAGAGGATGCCAAGGAAGAAGTACATTGGTGTGTGGAGGCTTTTGTCCAGGCGGATGACACTAACAATAGTGACATTGCCACTGAGAATGACGAAGTACAGAAAAAGGAAAACTGCAAACAGAACAAGCTGAATGTCACCAAGACTTGAAAAACCCAGTAAAAGGAACTCGGTGACCATGGTGAGGTTTTCTGCCAAGACCTGAAAACAAAAGGTAAGTAAATGCATTCAAGTACATAAATATACAAATCTAGGGTATACAGGCTTATATTCCTTTCTTGAGATGTTGGAAAGATCTTGCCTTTTCTAGTTACTAGCAGCCTCTGGTTCATTGTCCCCCTCTTCCTTCTTCAAACCCAGGAAAATTATATCTCTTTTACCAACTCTGATTCTGCCTTTCACTTTTAAGAACACTGTGTTTACGTGGTCAAGCCCAAATAATATAAACTAATCTCTCTAGCTAAAGGTCACAGGGTTAGCAAATTTAATTTTATCTCCAGCCTTAATTCTCCTTTTTCATGTAACCTAACTCATTTGCATGTTTCTGGGATTGATACGTGGACATCTTTGAAACAGCATAATTCTGCCTCCTACAAGTAGGAACACACCATACAAAATGCAAAAATGAAGTAAAGACAATAAATCCTTTTTAATGGCATAAAAGAACTAGGATCAAATTTAACAAAAAGAAGAGCAACATCTATGCACAGAAAACCATCAAACATTGCTGAGAAAAACAAAAGATCCAAATAAATGAAAAGACAACCATGTTCATGGATTAGAAGATTCAACATTATTATGAGACAATTATGAGCACCGTGATCCATATATTCATCATAGACTAAAAAATTGGCAAAGCAATCACAAAATATGAAAAGGAACTATAATAACCAAAATAATTGTGAAAATGAAGGGCAAAGATGGGAGATTTATACTTTCTGACTGCAAGCTTTACCTTAATGATGGAGTAGTCAAGAAAGCATGGTATTGGCATATAGATACACATATAGATAATGGTTAGAATTGAGAGTGTAGATATATACACTTCAAAGGGTACCATTGTGAAAATGAAGAGAACATCATACAGAAAAAATGCATTCACAAAGCATGTATCTGATAAGGGATTTGCATCCAGAATATACATATAACTCATAATTAAAATAAGAGAAGGATGCAGTTTAAAAATGGGCAAACTGTTTTCAATACACATTTCATCCAAGTGTATCAGTGGCTAGGAGGTATATAAAGATACACTCAGCATCACTTGCCATTAGGGAAATGCAAATTAAAACCACAATGTGATTACTGTTCATATGCACTAAGATGACTATAATGAAAGTGATAGATACTAAGAGGTGCTGGTAAGGAGAAAGAGAGGTTGAAACCTTCACATTTTGCTGATGGAAGTATAATATTATGCAGTCACTTTTGAAAAGAGTTTCACAGTTTCTTCTAATGGTAAATATAAACTTAGCCAATGACATAGCAATTTTATTCTCAGGAATATAACAGAGGGAAGTGAATACTATCCACATGAATATTTTTAGTGAATATTCTTAGTATTATTATTGATAATAGCCAAAAGGAGAAAACTATTCAATTTATTACATCCCAATTTATGAATAAATATATTTATGCACAAACAAAATCTGATATACCCATAAAACTGACTATTATATTCATTAGTAAAAGGAAGAACTGTGGTGCATACCACAGCATAAATATGTTCAAAAATATTATGCTAAATGATAATAGTCAAGTACTACACATTGGAAATTCTGTTTATATGAAACGTGTAGGAAAGGAAAATATATATCAGCAGAAAGATTAGTTGTAACCTTGGGATGGGGACAGGATGAAATTTGGCTGCAAACAGGTAAGAGGTTATCTTTTGGGATGATGAAAATGTCCTAAAACTTTATTGTGGTGATGACCACACAGCTCTATTAATTTGTACAAATAAAATGTGTGAGTGAATTTCATGGTATATTAAGCTATTTTTAAAATATTATTTTAAAGGAAGTTGATATATTGGTGACTTAATTTTTTATATGTATATTTATTTTAATTACTAAATGGAAACCTTTGGAACATTAGGACCCATTTAATTTTCATTATATTAGTCCTTCTCTGGGATGTTTCAGTATTTCTGAAACATATTACAGATCTTCAAAAATATTTTAAGTAATTTTAAACATAAATTGTTTATATTTCTAGCAACTTAAGATTTACCATGATAGTAAATTACCATGCTCAATTCTATCTCCAAACCACAATTAAATAACAATAAATATACAATAAAAAAAAAAAAGTAAAGAAGACTGTATACTTGCAATAGGTGAGTGGGAGAGAGGTTCTACTGCATTCAATACAGAGGGATTGAGTTTGATTGTGAATTATGACTATTTAACATGTTAGACCCTTTGAACAATCACAATACAGACATTCACTCAAGAAAAATAAAAATACATTCTCCAGCTTATTCAAACCAATGATGCCAAAAGACTCACTGTCTGTATTTATAAACATGATAACTATATTCTTAAGTAACCAGAATTGCTCCTACCACATTTCATTTTCTTTTCCCTTACCCTTTACTTCCTTAATAAATAGAAAAAATATTGTACAAGTCTCCAACTAATATAATTTTCAAAAAACTATTGTGGTTATGTAAAGAAAAAAAATGCAAAAAAATTAAAAGATTAGGAAAAAGGTATTATTTGATGAAAAAATTTGAAAAAATAAGCTCAAAACTAAAAGCAGTATATCAGAGATAGTAAATAACCAAAAATTTGACTGTATAAAATAAAATGTATATTGTCAACAAAAGCAGAATCAGAAATAGTAGAAAACAAATGATAAATTAAAAATTGCAAAAATCATTTCAAAATATTAATATTAATAAAAATGTATTATAAACTGATGGAGAAAATAAATTTCTGGTGTAGAAAATGGATTTAATATATGATTTATGAAAAAGAAATAACATGTATCAAGTATATAAAAATTAGTTTCACATCATTTGTAGTGCAAGTTAAACTTAAAGATCATTTACACTCACCAAATTATCAGTAGTGATGTGGATTATATGATTAGTAAAAGTGTTAAAGCTAATATGTTTAAAAATAAGCTTTAATTTTATGGAAAGAATTTTCATCAAAATGTATCAAGGCCCTTGATATATTAATTTATTTTTCTTCAATAATTCTCTTTGAAATCTATCAAAAATAGAATTTGATGTTTCTTCATCTGAAAAAATGGCAAATGTGAGAATTAAATGTATGTGTAAATAAGTATGTGGAAAGTATGTAGAAAGTGCTTAAAATATCAAGTATTACATAAGAAGCATGCTACTAGTGGTGTGATTTTCTTTGACTATCACTTTTTTGTTGTTGCTGTTTGGGGGCTTTTTTGTTTATTTTGCTGGGATCTTTCCTCACCAGACAAATAAATTGTTCAAAGACAGTGATTTTAAAACTTTATGCCTATCCCATCTCTGAGGTTACAGAATCAAGTTAATGGTCAACCCCAGCAGTTTTAATATACCAACAGCATAGATGAGAGAAATTAATGAAAGTATATAATGTATGAGTGACCTTTCTTTAGAGTGAATCTTCTGTTTTAGGCTGTGTGTGTACATGTACACCTGCATGATAGGTGGGAATTAAAACTTTACAGGGAAAACCTTGAACATAGAATATACAACACAAGGGGCTGATAGCTTTGTTGGAAAACAAAGTTGTTTTATTTTTTTTACCTTTTCAGGCCCCTTTCTTTCCATATCTGGTGTTTTTTACAGGCTTGATTTTTCTCTAGAGGCAGAAGAGAAATCTGAAGAGAATCAGTGTTTCTGAAAATGAAAAAATATATACATATATCCATCATACTCTTTACTTTCAATAAAATTTGCCTTCCCTCTCTCATAGTAGGACCCAACAAGGGAAATTCGGGGAAGAAAATCATTCAAGACAAGAACCTATAGATTTTTGCTTTCACTGCTTTTGACCTGAGGATACCAACTGGAACTGAATATCTTCAAGAGTTATTTGGGCAGCGAGAATATAGGGTCCTGAGTATGGGAAGCAAGGCATTACAGATGGAGAGAAATCTTGGACAGGGTGGCAAGAAACAGGAGAATAAACAGGGAAAGTGAGTATTGAAACAGTTCAGCTTGGAAATGGTGAATGCAGAGAAATTAAATATTTTACCAAGTACTTCTTAGCCAAAACTTTATAATGATGTTTCCAATCCTTGGCAAAAATGGGGGGAAGGACTACTGATAAATTCGGTTCTCACTACATTTCAAATTTGTCTCTTCCATCTCCCAGATTTTATCCCAATATTTTTAATCATATGGACACTGAGCATGCAGTGAGCCATGCTGTATCACATCAATGCCTTTTTTAGTTTTGGGCAGATCCTCTGAACTCTCAGGAAAAAGGAAAACACTTCTCTCAAGTTTCATTCCCATAGCATTTCTTTCAATTTAACAAATATTTCTTGAGTATACAGTAAGGCACAATCACTGTATTAGATATTTGGAATACATCTGAATAAAAAGTGAATAAAAGTGAATAGAAAGATTCCAGCCCTTATTAAACATATATTCTAGAATGTCTCACATTTTAGGTAATTATAGATAGTGACCTTCCTTGCTCAGGAAAAATCAAGTTCTTAGAAAGCAGACACCATGTTGTTGTTCACGTGACAAAGGTCACGTGCCCGGCAACACGTATTCACACGCATCCCTCTAACCCCATCAGCATCAGAGTTTCTAGAAAATATCAAAAGTTCAAAGCATATGTGATAGAATCAATGATTAAGCAAAATAAGATATGAATGAATCATCACCATGGATTGATATACATTTGTCAAGCAGCTGGTAAAAATATTAAATGAGCAAAGAAGCTGGAATAAAATTTATATCATGAAGAAAGCACTGGATATGAAGTAAAAAAGCACAAGTATTATTCATATTTCAGCATTTTCTTTGAGAAATAAGTAAAGTTTCCTAAATCTCTGAAACTTGAAATATTATGAGAATTAATGAACTTTAAGTATAGCCCAGAATTACACATAAGAAACCCTAATTATTTCCTTCTCTCTGAAGTCCTATATGTCCTATAAACATTCTGCAACATTGCTAATGTTTTCTTTTCTCTCAACCTCAACATTATCTTGTCTACCCATTCAGCAACTTCCCCTATAACCACTCCCCAATCCTTATCTATCATGTATACAAAGACCATAGTTTTTTAAAAAAACACTCCACATTTCCAAATTGAACATAAGATAAAAAGCACAAGGAGCTACTATCTAGGAACCAGGAGAGTTATATTCTGTATTCCATTTATGAAATAAGGAAGCCCAAGTCACAAACATAAAAGAACATAAACATGTTCTTCAAATGTGAGTCCTGGGCTTCAGTGGAATGCAGTTGTCCTGTTTTTCATCAAGGCCTTTAAGAAAACGTCCAGATAATTTGCTGCAAAGAGCCATTTCCATATTCCCATACAGATCTTCCTCCCATTCTCTCAAAATTGTTTAAACCAGTAACAAGACTCACCACCACACTCCCAAGAACAATATCCATTGTGCTCCAGCTGAATAGCCCTAACCCAGCTACAGTCTTGGTTACTATTATTAATAGGCATTTTTCTGACTGTCAGCACTAGCATATATGCCTCATTTGATAACTTCACTACTCAGCACCCTAGGGAGTAATTACCACTTCACTCCTAAAACAAGTCCTTCCTTCCCTCAGTGGGGAGCTGTGATCCACGGGGAAGATGGACCCTGAGGCTCTCTTGCCAAAACATGAATCATGCAATAGTCCAGGAGAATGTGTCAGTCTCTTATTTGAGACTCCTCAGTATGGATGTTCACTAGAAGTTTGGAGGCTGCTGGACATGTTAGCAGAAAAGACCTGATAACTCCCACCTGCACACTTATTTTTCATCCTTCGGTTGGAAGGAAGAATTTCCTAAGCTTTCCCATCTTGCCTTCTTGCCTTTTCCTCAAAGATGAGGAATGTTTTATTGAGTTGTATGATATATATATATATATATATATACATATATATATATATATGATATTAATCCCTTGTCAGTTATTGTAGCCCCTTTCAACCAACCCCTTTGCTTGAAAAAAAAAAAAAAAAGCCATTTCCCTTTTCTTGTTCTTTGGATTTGCCTATGGCCCACCATAGTTTCCATATGCCAAATTACAATTGCTCTGGCTATTTGTGTGTGTGATGAAGTTAGCATCTCTTTAAGTTAGTAAATGATTTAATAAATGGTTTAAGGGCAATACACTATACATTTAATAGTAAATTATGCATTAATTCAAAATATATTCAATTCTGAATATTCATTAGAGGGACTGATGCTGACGCTGAAGCTCCAATACTTGGGCCATCTGAGGCAGAGCTGACTCACTGGAAAAGACCCTGATTCTGAGAAAGATTGAAGGCAGGGGGTGGGGCAGGGAAGGGGATGACAGAGGATGAGATGATTGGATGGCATCACTGACTCAACTAGAATGAGTTTGAGCGAGCTCCAGGAGATGGTGAAGAACAGGGAAGCCTGACGTGCTGCAGTCCTTGGGACCCTGAAGAGTTGGACACAACTGAGTGACTGAACAACAACAGAATATTGAAAATCTAGTAAACTATCTGACTGTGGAGAGCATAAGGGTTTCTACCCTTATATCATACCCTCAGGATAAACAGACACCACAAAATATACTTGGTGTAAATAGTCACTGTCGAAAAAAATTTTACTGAATGATCCATATTTGGGGGCTTCCCTGATAGCTCAGTTGGTAAAGAATCCACAGGCACGCAGGAGACCCTGGTTTGATTCCTGGGTTGGGAAGATCCCCTGAAGAAGGGAAAGTCTACCCACTCCAGTGTTCTGGACTGGAGAATACCATAGATTGTATAGTCCAGTCAGTTCAGCTCAGTCTCTCAGTTGAGTCCAACTCTTTGTGACCCCATGGACTGAAGCACACCAGACTTCCCTGTTCATCACCAACTCCTGGAGCTTACTCAAATTCATGGCCACCGAGTCAGTGATGCCATCCAACCATCTATCCTCTGTTGTCCCCTTCTTCTACCGCCTTCAATCTTTCCCAGCAACAGGGTCTTTGCAAATGAGTCAGTTCTTCACATCAGGTGGCCAAAGTATTGGAATTTCAGCTCCAGTATCACACATTCTAATGAATATTTGGAACAGATTTCCTTTAGGATTGACAGGGTGGATCTCTTGCAGTCCAAGGGAGTCTCAAGAGTCTTCTCCAACACCACAGTTCAAAAACATCAATTCTTCGGCACTCAGCTTTCTTTATACTCCAACTCTCATGTCCATACATGACTACTGGAAAAGCCATAGCTTTGACTAGACAGACTTCTGTTGGCAAAGTAATGTCTCCGCTTTTAAATATGCTATCTAGATTGATCATAGCTTTTCTTCCAAGGAGCAAGCACCTTTTAATTTCGTGGCTGCAGTCACCATCTGCAGTGATTTGGAAGTCCAAAACAGTAAAGTCTCTCACTGTTTCCATTGCTTCCCCATCTATTTTCCAGGAAGTGATGGGACCAGATGCCATGATCTTAGTTTTTTGAATGTTGAGTTTTAAGCCAACTTTTTCAATCTCTTCTTTCATTATCATCAAGAGGCTCTTTAGTTCATCTTCACGTTGTGCCTTGAGGATGGTGTCATCTGCATATCTAAGGTTATTGATATTTCTCCTGGCAATCTTGACTCCAGCTTGTGCTTCATCCAGCCTGACATTTTGCATAATGTACTCTGCATAGAAGTTAAATAAGCGGAGTGACAATATACAGCCTCGAGGGCCCCCTTTCTTGATTTGCAACCAGTCTGTTGGTCCATGTCCAGTTTTAACTTTTTCTTTCTTGACCTGCATACAGATTTCTCACGAGGCAGATAAGGTGGTCTGCTACTTCCATCTCTTGAAGAATTTTCCACAGTGTGTTGTGATCCACAAGTAAAAGGCTTTGGTGTAGTCAATAAAGCAGAATTAGATGTTTTTCTGGAACTCTCTTGTTTTTTTTTCGATAATCCAGCAGATGTTGGCAATTTGCTTTCTGGTTCTTCTACCTTTTATAAATTCAGCTTGAATGTCTGGAAGTTCACAGTTCATGTACTGTTGAAGTTTGGCTTGGAGAATTTTGAGCATTACTTTGCTAGCATGTGAGATAAGTGCAATTGTGAAGTAGTTTGAGCATTATTTGGCATTGCCTTTCTTTGGAATTGGAATGAAAACTGATGTTTTCCAGTCCTGTGGTCACTGCTGAATTTGCTGGCATATTGAGTGCAGCACTTTCACATCATCATCTTTTAGGATTTGAAATAGTTCAACTGGAATTCCATCACCTCCACTAGCTTTGTTCATAGTGATGCATCCTAAGACCCATTGACTCTGCATTCCAGGATGTCTGGCTCTAGGTGAGTGATCACACCATCTGGGTCATGAAGATCTTTTTCGTTTAGTTCTTCTGTGTATTCTTGCCACCTCTTCTTAATATCTTCTGCTTCTGTTAGGTCCATACCATTTCTGTCCTTTATTGTGCCCATCTTTGCATGAAATATTCCCTTGGTATTTCTAATTTTCTTGAAGTGATCTCCAGTCTTTCCCATTCTATTGTTTTCCTCTATTTCTTTGCACTGATCACTGAGGAAGGCTTTCTTATCTCTCCTTGTTATTCTTTGGAACTCTGCATTCAAATGGGTATATCTTTCCTTTTCTCCTTTGCCTTTCCTTTCTCTTCTTTTCTCAGCTATTTGTAAGTCCTCCTCAGACAAACAATTTGACTTTTTTGCATTTCTTTTTCTTTGGGTTGATATTGGTCACTACCTCCTGTACAATGTCACGAATCTCTGTCCATAGTTCTTCAGGCACTCTGTCAGATTTAATACTTTGAATCTATTTCTCACTTCCATTGTATAATCATAGGGATTTGCTTTAGGTCATATGTGAATGGTCTAGTGGTTTTCCTCACTTTCTTCAATTTAAGTCTGCATTTTGCATTAAGGAGTTCATAATCTGAGCCACAGTCAGCACCTGGTCTTGTTTTCTTGCTGACTGTATAGAACTTCTCCATCTTTGGCTGCAAAGAATATAATCAATCTGATTTTGATGTTGGCCATCTGGTCATATCCATGTATAGAGTCTTCTCTTGTGTTGTTGGAAGAGGATGTTTGCTATGACCAGTGCGTTCTCTTGGCAAAACTCTATTAACCTTTGCCTGCTTCATTTTGTACTCCAACGCCAAATTTGGCTGTTACTCCAGGTATCTCTTGATTTCCTACTTTTGCATTCAGGTGACCTATAATGAAAAGGACATCTTTTTTGTGTTTTAGTTCTAGAAGGCCTTGTAGGTCTTCATAGAACCATTCAACTTCAGCTTCTTCAGCATTACTGGTTGGGGCATAGACTTGGATTATCATGATATTGAATGGTTTGCCTTGGAAATGAACAGAGATCATTCTGTCATTTTTGAGACTGCATCCAAGTACTGCATTTCAGGATCTTTTGTTGACTATGAGAGCTACTCCATTTCTTCTAAGGTATTCTTCCCCACAGTAGTAGATATAATGGTCATCTGAGTTAAATTCACCCACTCTAGACCAGTTTAGTCCATTGATTCTTAAAGCATCAGTGTTCACTCTTGCTATCTCCTGTTTGACCACTTCCAATTTACCTTGATTCATGGACCTATCATTCCAGGTTCCTATACCATATTGTTCTTTACAGCATCAAATTTTACTTCCATCATCAGTCACATCCACAGCTGGTTGTTGTTTTTCTTTGGCTCTGTCTCCTCATTCTTTCTGGAATTATTTCTCCACTGATCTTCAGTAGCATACTGGGCCTCTCCTGACCTGGGAAGTTCATCTCTCAGTGTCCTATCTTTTTGCCTTTTCATATTTTTCATGGGGATCTCAAGGCAAGAATACTGAAGTGGTTTGCCATTCCCTTCTCCAGTGGACCACTTTTTGTCAGAACTCTCCACTGTGACCTGTCCGTCTTGGGTGGCCCTACATGACATGGCTCATAGTTTCATTGCCTTATACAAGGCTGTGGCCCATGTGATCAGTTTGATTAGTTTTCTGTGATTGTGGTTTACATTTTGTCTTCCATTTGATGGTTAAGGATAACAGATTTATGGAAGCTTCCTGATGGGAGAGACTGACAGAGGGGAAAACTGGGTCTTGTTTTGATGGGTGGGGCCAATGCTCTATAATCCAATTTTCTGTTGATGGGAGGGCTGTGTTACCTCCCTGTTTTTTGACTAGAAGCCAAACTATGGTGGAGCTAATGAAGATAATGGTGACCTCCTTCAAAAAGTCCCGTGCATGCACTCCTGCACTCAGGGTCCCCGACCCTGCATCATGACACCACTGACCCACATCTCTGCCAGAGATGCCTGGGTACACACAGGCCTGTCTGAGTCAGTCCTTGTGGGGTCACTGCACCTTCCTCCTGGGTCCTGGTGCACAAGGTTCTGTTTGTGCCCTCCAAGTGTCTGTTTCCCCATCTTGTGTAAACTCCGGTGGCTCTATGGCTGGTTAAAGGTGAT